TTCCATTAAAGCCAATTATTTCCCACGCATTTTAGTGTTGAGGCACTCCGTGCACTCGAAGCTTTGAGACCCCAAACACATTACCATTGGAATCATTTTTCTTCAGCAGCTACTGTAAATTGCCAAGCAGTGGGAGGCTCAATGGAGGTGCTGGCTACTTGTGCAGCGTAAGCCTGTTTCTGGGCTGTGTCATGACTGTCTCACTGCTAATGGGATAACAGAGCACACTCTGCAGGGGAAATGCTTAAAGACTTCAGATTGGAGCCATACTTGGCATAACTTCAAAAGACTCAAGTTACATTAGCACTGAGTTGGATCATGGGATAGAGGTTTTCTTGTTTCATTGCAACTGATTTATCAAAATTTCCACTGTTATAAATAATAACAGATTTTTCCTTTTGAACTTCCTCTTGAACCTCAACAAATACGTAATTTGCTTTGACCTGCCTTCCACCTCCTGCATTTTCTTGTTGCATTTCCTAGCAGCATTTTCTATCACCTTCAATGAGGGCATTATCTTCCTTTCTTGGAGGAAGTTAGAGGAGCTCACAAGATCAGATGACATAAAAGGAACCATGTTTTAAATTTAAACTGAAACAAACAAAAAACCTGCTTTCAATATTTTTTTTCCCCCATTTTTTCCACCCAGATATCACATTGTTGGAAAAGACACATCTTGGAAAACCACAGACAATCCCTACTCTAATACTTGCAGCACAGTATATTAGTAATAGCTTCATTTAAAAAAAAAACCTCAGCAGTGGAAATGAAGTGTACCTGCTTCTCTCAGGCAGAGAAGAGCTCCTCTAGCTGGGTACCCATCAGGCTGCTGCAGCCAGTTCAGCAATGCTGGACTGTGTGAACAAACATCCCTTAGCCCAAAAGCAGGCTGTAGTGCTGGGCTTTGTCTGAGCACTTCCCCAGCTTGTGCTCTGTGCCTGGCTGTTACGTCAGGCAACGGAGAGCAGCAACTAACTATGCCAAACTTTACAACGTCACCAGTCCTTGGTTAGGAATAACTGGAGAAATTCAGGAGAAAGGAGAGACACACCCTCTCTCTTCTGACTCTACATGTGCTGTTGGTTCCTAAACTCAAACATCAGCTTCCATCAGTCTGGAGGGGCACTGAGGTGTCCCATGCCTTCCCGCTGCTCCCGCTTTTTTTGCAGAGAGCCATTGGGTGGCATTTGCATGGTGATTACTTGAGTGTAATAACCAAGACCTGAAGCTGTATATACCTGGCTTCTCTCAGATCAGCCCACAGAGAAACCTAGAGGTCTGGACTTGTGCCAATTTAACTAGCAGAAGTACACACACCAAGACAGCTGCCAAAGTCACAGTTTTCCTGCCCCATTTCCTTGTCTTTCTTGCAGGTACGGGGGAGTGACATCAAATGTATGTGCAGAAAGCTGAATTATCACCTTCTGCATGTGGCTTTGCATCTAAACCCCTTCCACACAGCTGCTCACCAGCCCCTGTGTTAGAAGCCTCCTCTCTTCTTGTCTGACTTCCCACTTTCTTCAGATCCTCTACATTTCCACTGTGTCTCCCAAAACTTCTGTGATATTTCTGACCTTTAGCAGGCACTCAGTCTCTGTTTCACTTCAGGGGGAACTCCACTGCGGAAACTCCCTTCTGTGCCATCCATCTCGCCTGGACCAGCTTCTCCATCCCACTATTCTCAACATGTCCCTTCTGGAATGTGAGCTACCAAGACTGGTTGCATATGTGAAACATGTGGCACTGCACATGTTAGAACATCTGATGACAAAGCAACTTCAAAAATAAAAATGTTGTCCTCATTTGTTGCTTTCTTGAAGGTTTTTATGCTGCCATTAACCATGGACTTCTTTTTGGCTGAAGCCTGTCAGTGACAGTATATGCAAACAGAGAGCACATTAACAGCCAGGATGTTTGAGGGCGGTGCTCCCTGTGCAAAGCATATTTAATTTTATCAACTAATCAAGCTATTTTTAATCACAAAATGCTCTTTGAAAGTGACAAGAGCATGTGAGAGCTGAAAGAGAGCTAGATACAGAGGCGACTAGGTCTCTTTTGAAAACTCTGCTGAGAAGATAAAAATGATTCTGAGGCAGAAATGCATTGTTCCAGCATTTACTGTCTTTCTTGTCAGTAGAAGTACCATGGGAGACGGAAGAGCAAAAATTAAGTTAGAGAGATAATACACAGGAAGCCAATGTTATGTTAGATTAAAAACAGCCAGTACTTTCAATAACAAGCTTGGAAACTAGAAATGAAATACTGCTATACTAAACAATGCAGAACATGTTATGCCTATTTTCTTTTTTTCCCCTCCCTTTATAAAATAACATAAAGCTCAGAATTATTGCAAAGAAATAGCAGGAGCTAGATGCCAAGTGGGCAGGCTGCTTCGCAGATCAATGACAAAGAACCTGGCTGCCTCTCTTGGGTACTGAATTGTTCTGCTTTCAGAAGGAGATGCAGAAGATTACCTGTATGTGTAAATCATGTCTTTATGGTTGATAGAAAAAGCCTAATGAGGGAAAATCATCCCCCTAATTTGTGCTGAACAGAGAATAAATTAATGCAGAACTGAAAAGCAAGAAAAAGCAAAGTCATTCTCTTCCCAGCTCCATTTGGACCAACAATCTGCTTGCCAATGCTCCAATTGGTCACTCCTTGTGACCCCTCAGGAAAGCTGGAGCTCACGGATTTTAAGCCCAGCTCAGGCACCTGCTGGGGGGCAGAATGAATACCGGCTTTGCCGGAATTTCCCCATGCCAAAAAAAGCCCTAACCCAAAACAAAAACAGTAAACACAGGCTAATCCTCTGTGAGTAGAGGAACCAATGCGAAGATGCGGAACAAAACACTGTAATTCTTTTTGGTTTGATAATCTTTTAACAACTGGCTTGTTTTTATATTAGTATAGCTATAGCCTGTGGTAAAGTGATTTGGGACTTTCCCTTTTTCCAGACCACTTGCAGCAGAAGTTTGTAGTTTGAAAAAAAAAATCAGCATAACACATAGCTAGTTTTATTTCTATGGTTTCTTATTTGTCAGGCAAAATATCTTACTCTGTGAGATGTTTTTCTTTTCAAGACAGCTTCACTTTAGTTAGGCCATTTTAAGGCCTTAATTTTAGTTTTTAGATAAGTACATGTCATAGAAACAAACCAGCTTCTTTGTCAGCGATGATACTGATGCTACTGCCAACTGTTGTCTTACAAAGGGAAACCTTAGCAGCTCAGAATTTATCCATTCTCATCTGCATTTCTCAGGATCTCATCCTGGTAAATCTGCCAAAATTACTATTTTGCATGATACCAGAAGTCATTTGCACTGGGTATACCTCTCAAAATATATCATATCATATCATATCATAAATATCATATCTCAAAATACTTGCTATCCATGTTCCTTGGACTGGGGAAGGTTTTCTGGCAAGACTGTGATCTGGTTTTGTCAAGTGTGGTTTTATTCTGTTGTCCTCCTTTGGTTGCTTGAGGGTCTGGATGAAATCCTGGACTATACAGAATCAGAGCTGAAATTCACACTGGTGTATCTCGCTGTTTAGAAAGCCCAAAGCCATTATGAATATAAGTAGTGAAATGTTATGCTGGGGCAGAATTTCCTTTCCAATGCCATCATTTCTACATTCTTCTGCTCAGGAGCCTGTAAGTCTTGTTTGGCACCATCTACCCACTCAGCACACCATAAACTACAGGAAGCCCAGTCTTTAACACTTACTTAACAGAGGCCAAGTAAAGTGTTAGCAGGCAGACTGCTGGCTCCCCACCTGGACAGAAGAGAAGCATGCTTTTCCCCTCTCATTGCTTTGTGCTCCTTGTATTTTGCCTGATTTGAAATCTGATTATTCTTTAACAGCTAGACATTCAGACTATGTGCAGCAGCTGCACACTCCCTATCTATATATCTATACTATAGAAGGAGCATTTTTAGAACCTATGTAAACTAGTGGGTCATGTCTGTGCTCTGTTGTAAGTGATGTGGTTGACCGAGGTTGTATCCTGTGCCTTACCACAGGTGCACACATACTGCATAGACTCTTCTGGGAGTCAAAGCATCAAACACTGAGAGTGAGAATTGTGTTATCCTCACTGAATTCACTCTGCATGCCATCCTTAAATATTAGCAGTGTTTTAAAAAGGATGCCATCCAGTGCCTAAAGGTTAGGAGAGTCAGCAGCCCCTGCCACACCATCAGCAGGACAGGCACAGTGCTTTCCTGACAGGAACCTTAACTAGAAACATGGGCTCATGGTCCATGTCTTCCTGTGAGCATCTTCCAAGGTCAGGCTGGGGCTGGGCTGGAGATTTTAAGACTACACATTTGAATTGAAACACCTGACGCCAATCTCTTTTTGACTTTCCATACCACACGAGATTTATTTAAACTAATCTTAGATGTCTAAAAAATCTCGAAGTCTAAGCCTGAGCCGGTAATGTTATGCTCCTACTGTAGTTAATAACGGGTTATCAGAAGGCTGTCAAGCACCCAAGACAGGTTGAATGGGTGCCCATTTCTTCCTACCAGATGCAAAGGGTGCCAGCCCACGCAGACACAAAACTTTTAGATGTATAAACTGGAGCAGTGAGTCACGATGGAGATGTCTGTACCCCATCTGCACGCACACACAGACAAAAGCGTGGCTGAGAAATCTCGCAGCTCTCTACAGCGCCGAACTGCAGCATCTCTGAAACCCGCTGCAGATTTTAATAGCTGTTATCCACCCTAAAAATACATTCGCACCTCGTTACCGTAGCGTGCTTTTTTCTCGGGAGACTGGTGGGTAACAGGACCTGTTATCCATCCTCTGGACACCCTCAGCTGCTCGGTGCCTGTCCCGGATAACAGCCCTTCTTAGCGGTGCGCCCGTTGTCGGGCGGAGGTGACTCCCGAGGTGCCGAGCCCGCCCCTCCGGCCCTGCCCGGGGGAGGAGGCAGAGAGGAAGGAAGGGAGGGAGGGAGAGAGGCTGAGCGAGGGCCGGCGTGGAGCCCCGCTCAGCGGCAGTAGCCCGCGCCCCGCCGCCAGCGGCGGCTCCTCAGGAGGCGGCGGGGGCAGGTGCGGACGCTTCCGCATCGCGCTGCGAAGAGGAGCAGCAGAAGGCGAAGGAAGAGGAGGTGGCGGCGAGGGCGGGCGTGCGGCGGGGCCAGCAGCCCCGAGCCTGTCCGGCGTGCCCGTGGGCGTGCTCCCCGGCGGGGCGGGCCGGGCCGCCGCCGCTAACTTTGCCTCTTCGCGAAGAGCCTTCCTCCGGCAGTCAGAGGGTCGTCGGAGCTCCGGCGGTCCGAAGCAGCCCCCCGCGATGAAGGGCCGCCGGCGGTGGCGGAGCGAGCACCGCCGTTTCGCCGCCGTGTTGGTGCTATACACGCTGGTGCTGCTCCTGTTGGTGCCCTACGCATTGGACTACGGGGCCCGGCGCGGGCGGACTGACGAGGAGCCGCTACTGCGGCGCTGCCCCAGCCTGGAAGAGGCGCTGAGCGAGTGGGGCTGGGAGCAGCAGCAGCCGCCGCTGGACGAGGAGGACGAGGAGGGGGACGAAGCGGCGGGTAACGGCAGCGCGGCGGGGAAGCGGCACATATACCTGCACGCCACTTGGCGCACGGGGTCTTCCTTCCTCGGGGAGCTCTTCAACCAGCATCCCGACGTCTTCTACCTCTACGAGCCCATGTGGCACCTGTGGCAGGCCCTGTACCCAGGGGACGCGTTGAGCCTGCAGGGCGCCCTCCGCGACATGCTACGCGCCCTCTTCCGATGCGACTTCTCCGTCCTGCACCTCTACGCCGCGCCGCCCGGCCCCCGCGACCCTCTGGCCCCCGCCCCGCCCGCCGCCGACAACCTCACCACTACCAGCATCTTCGGCTGGAGGACCAACAAGGTGATCTGCTCGCCGCCGCTCTGCTCCGGCGCTCCGCGGGCTCGCGGAGAGATCGGCCTCGTCGACGGCGCCGCCTGCGAGGAGACGTGCCCGCCGCGGGCGCTGCGGGAGCTGGAGGCCGAGTGCCGCAAGTACCCGGTGGTGGTCATTAAGGACGTACGGCTGCTGCAGCTGGGCGCCCTGCTGCCGCTGCTGCGGGAGCCCGGCCTCAACCTGCGCGTGGTGCAGCTCTTCCGCGACCCCCGCGCCGTCCACAACTCCCGCCTCAAGGCCCGGCAGGCGCTGCTGCGGGAGAGCATCCAGGTGCTGCGCAGCCGGCACCGCGCCGAGCCGCGGGGGACGCTCCGCCACCCCCAGCAGCAGCTGCCCGGCATGCTGGGCGGCGGGCGGGCGCCGCAGCACCGCGCCGAGTTCTTCCTCGGCGGCGCCCTGGAGGTGATCTGCCAGGCCTGGCTCCGCGACCTTCTCCTAGCCCGCCGCGCCCCGGCCTGGGTCCGCCGCCGCTACACGCAGCTACGCTACGAGGACCTGGTGCGGGAGCCCCGCGCCCAGCTGCGCCGCCTGCTCCGCTTCGCCGGGCTGCCCGTACCGCCCGCGCTGGAGGACTTCGTGCTCAACATGACCCGCGGCGCCGCCTACTCCTCAGACCGGCCCTTCCTCATCTCCGCCCGCGACGCGCGGGAGGCCATCCACGCCTGGCGGGAGCGTCTCAGCCGGCAGCAGGTGCGGCAGGTGGAGGCTGCCTGCGGCGAGGCCATGAGCCTCCTCGCCTATCCCCTCAGCGCCGGCGACGCCCGGTAGCGCCCGCGCCCGACGCCGGGTGATGGCCGGGCCGGGGGCCGCGACTGCGGCGGGTGGTCCCGCGGGCGAGTGGGCGCTGTGGGGCCGAGCTGGGCGCGGGGTGCCCATCTGGCACGGCGGCGGCCTGCGCTCGCCTCAGGGGTCGGGTGCTGCTCCCCTGGCAGGCGCAGACCAGCCTCGCCTCAGGAGCAGGCAGTGTTGCGGGGCTCAGGGCCCTGCTTCCCGCTGCTGGCTTCGGAGGGACTTCCTCGTGGGCCACTGCTGAGAGAGCATGGAGAATGTCGCGTTTAAGAGAAAGGTTTGGTCAGAGGTGTCCTCTGGGCACAGCACCTCACCTGAAATGGTGACCACACACAAAGCACGAGTGCTCTTCAAGAAAACTGCATTGAAATTTAAAAATCCCCTGAATGAAGACCCTCAGCAAGGAACTAGAGGGCTTCAGAGGTGATGCTGTGGGAGCATCACCACTGACGAGCGCTGAAGCATGCTGGGCTCTCGTGTTGCTACTGAAACATGTACTGTGAAGTGTGAAACACTTGCGTGAAGTTGGCTGCAGAGGCCACTCGAGGCCCAGGCGGGCAGGAGGAGTGCGGGCCCCTGGGGAGGGCTTGACTGTCCTGCTCCCGACCGACTGGGTAGCTCTGCGGGGATGGTTGCTGCCAGGACGGCTTGCTGATGATGGGGGGGGGGGGGCACAGGCTGAGGGGAGGGAACCTTGTTAAACCCCATCCATCATTCAGAGCAGCGGGGTAAGCATTAACCTGCTTATGTGCTTTGAAGATGTTTGTGGCAGAAGTTTCTGCTTTTCTAAAGAAATCTGTAATTCCTTTTAAAGTAGGAATTCTTTTTTAATATATTGATATATTCTGGTGGTGATACTCATGTGAGATACCTGTGACTATCATGTTTCTTATGGACACATTTAGGGGTGACTGTAACCGGAACATGAACGCTCGATGTTTCCATTTGGTTTTCTCAGCCAGATGAAAGAATCACTTTTCTTCCCTTGCTTCAGGGCTGACACATTGTGCTGTGCGCAGGGTCCTCCTGGTCACATCCCTTCTGAACAATAACATCCTTTCAGCTGGCAATCCTGGACAAAAGCAAATGTTTCCTAAGAGGCCAAGACAGATTAATCACAAAGTTCCCAAATAAAAGCTTGTATTAAAAAAAAAAAAAAATAGAAAAGAACCTCCCCCCAACCTTAAGTTTTATTTGGGATTTTAAAAATACATTTTTCTGTAGATACCCTGCAATGTATGAGAATACATATCCTGTATGAGAAGGGTGTGCATGCGTGTGTATGTGTATATATATCTGTGAGTACCTCTTTTTTCTTTATTTTTTTAATTTGGAGATAGAAGGTTCAGTTGTAACTTAGAGATGCAGGGTTGTGATGTCTTGGCATCTGCTTTTGAGTCCATTACAGTCTGGCAGCATTTAAATGGCCCCACAAGAGTACACAAGGTTATAGGGGTATTTACATGCAGTCCTCAAATACAGACTGAGAACATGAACTTCAAACAGAATAATGTGTTATCAGGAAGAAAACAGTATTTATATAAAGTGCTGGAAATAACAGCCTTTCAAAGACATTACGTTATCACAGAGGAAACATTTGAATTGCATTGTAGGTGTTCATGCTCTGAATATTGTGCTCTAAAACCCATTAGTGTGTTAGGATGAACCTTCCGTTACTTTAGCACTTTTTCTTCCTTGACCCTCCCACCTGCAAGTACATTGGCACAAGAAGCAGGTTTCTTTCACCGTCTGATAGGGAAATGTAGCCGTAAAAATGCTTTTGAGTAAATCTACTCGTTTCACAGTAGCCTGTTTCATACAATTCTGCATCCTTTGGTTTCTGCTTGAAGCAGAAATTACAGGGGCTCATTTTGTGTTGGAACAACCCTTGGTATGATCTAAGGGATGTTTTTGAACTCTCTCACAGGCACTGTGAGAGCAAAATTTGTCTCTGGATGTTCCGCTGGTATATATAAACCAGTATTTATATAGATGGACAATACCTATATTAATGCCTAATTGATAACCTGTGTCGGGTAACCTGTTTTGGAAGGATTCTTCGGGAATACAGCCAGCTTGGCTTGTATTGACAGGCTTGGGAAGAAAGATTTTCTTGCAAGTCAAAAGATTATGTGGTACTTACTTTCTTCCATCATTTGGGAGATGAGAATACAGTGTATCTTGTTGATTTGTTTTTAGCAAGTGACAGTCACAGATTTGTACAGTGCGACTGTTACACATGCACTTCACCTCAACAGGGAGTCAGGGAATCTCATCTCACTGTTTCAGGTGGTAAACGCCTTTCATAAGAAGTTTCTGGAATTTCACACTTAGTTTCACTTACACTGGTTTGTTGTGATGAATAAAGAAGTGTTGCCATCTAGCTTCACTTGATGCTGGTAGCTGGGGAGAAGACATTAACTGCAGATTACTGAGTCTTTTCTGAAGCAGTTTCCCTGTTTGAAATAGATGCATTTTCTGTATCAAGAATTATTTCTTTCCACAGAAGTTGTTCTCTACCACAATTGCTCTTCATTAGTGAATCATTCAATTTTTCTTTTCTCATCCTAGGCTGTTCTTGTAGGTTTTTTTTGTATGCTGTGAAAAGAGTTCTGTTGGGCAAAATGCACAAAATACAGCAAGTGCGGTTTGCAGTTTGCATTCAGGATGCTGGGTTCATTAGAATACTTCAGAATAATCCAGAGGGAATATCCAAAGCTGAAAAAGGAGTGAGTAGCCCAGAGTGGGACCTTGGTGCAGGATATGCAAGAGCATGTAGGACTGGATGACGGTTGCTTAAAAACTGATTCTGCAGTGAGTGTGTTTCAGTCACTAAAGGGCTTTCTAAGGAGGACAACTAGGGCTTCCCAACAAATGTATCCCGTTTTTCTCCTCAAGGTGTTTTGATGGTGTTGGAAAGCACTGTTCAGGATGCTTACAGCATATACTTACTGGCCTTCAAAATTGTTCCTTGAAGGGAAAAAATAATGTAGTATCAAATGTCAGTGTCAGTACTTAGCTGAAAAGACAGAAACAGGTCTGACTAGGACGACCAGCATGCAGTTTCATGGGCAGAGGTCCTTGGAAGTAAGCACAGCTTGCTGAAAGCAGGACATCTGTGGTTAAACTGCATTTTGAGAGCAGCTGGACATTCATGGCTTCATCACCAGCTTTTTTACTGCTACTGGGCTCAACTGAGATTCTGAAGTAAAGCCCCAGTTCTACTAAATTATGTAGAAAATGAACCTGTAACTGCATCTCTTAGAGCAGAGGATGGCACGTTAAGCAAGAGAATAATAAACACATTTTGTAGCCAAGCTGACCTTGGCAAGCTTAGAATCAGAGAGCAGGTATGAGCTGCATCTTTTAGTAGATCAGACGTTGTGCTACATTAAATGTAATGAATTAACAGCTAGTGGGGAACAAAACTGACAAATGCTCATAAGACTTAATTCTATCATCTGTTTTTAATAAACTTCTGGTCATCCTATGCCTGCCTTAAAGGAGGTAGAAACTTGAGTACTGTAATTGTTCATAAGAGGCTGTGATATTTCCACACTGGAATTAATTGCTTTCTTACAACATTATGTCTGTATTTAAATAGCTGCTTTTGGGGAGACAACTGTAGTGACATACTTTTGAGAAATGCTGAAAGTCCAGGGTCAAGATATACTTATCCCCTGCCTTACTTTTTCTCCCTAGAGCATTACTGAGTCCTTGTAGATACCTGTGGCATGTACTTGCATACTTCGGGTACAATAGAAATAGTTGCAGTATCTAACAGGAGTGTTTAAACAGTCATGGAGTTAATTTCATAGAATCATAGAATGGGTTAGAAGGGACCTTAAAGATCATCCAGTTCCAAAGCCCCTGCCATGGGCCACCTTCCACTAGACCAGGTTGCTCAAAGCCCTGTCCAACCTGGCCTTGAACACTGCCAGGGATGGGGCAGCCACAGCTTCTTTGGGCAACCTGTTCCAGTGTCTCACCACCCTCACAGTAACGAACTTCTTCCTTGTAGCTAATCTAAATCTCCCCTCTGTCAGTTTAAAGTCATTCCCCCTTGTCTTTTCACTACAGGCCCTTGTGAAAAGTCCCTCTCCAAATTTCTTGTTGCATAGGTCATTTTAGCCCCCCCATCAGTCAGTGCATCATGAAAAGTCTTGAGTTACTACATTAAATTCTCAATATCACCACTTTCAGTAAGCCTGATGTTACAAAAACAGCACAGAATTTCAGGGTTTGTTACGATAATGCACTTCAACAACATTTCAGTGAAGAACTGAGCTCCTGAAACACTAAGAGCCAACAAGGCTGATGGCATGTTGTCGTGGTTCTGTTCCTTTCTGTAACACAAAGAGCTACTGCTGTGACTCTGATGGTGTCTGGAGTATGGGGACAGTAAGAAGGTGCATGTCATCACTCCAGATCACTCTGCGACCCATGCAGCACTGGGACTACCTTACATGTTATTTTGCCATTCCTGTTTAATGTGACACCTACTGCCATGGAGAAGGATATGGGAAAAATGCATTTGTCAAAGCAAATCTTGCACTCATGGGAGTTTTCAGCACCTCACTGGCTATGCGTGTGTTTGTGTATGTGAGTGAGGTGCTGGGGGCAAGGTTGTCCTTCTTTTGTCTGTGGTTTAAGGGGGTGAATGTTAAATCCAAATTCGTTGAAGTTACAGTGACTTGAGGCCTGTTGCTCACTGTTGGGGTGTACCTCTGGCAGTCTTGGCTCTGGACAATGGGCTGGAAGCCTATTAACACTTTAGTCCTTAGAGTTTGTCAGGGTATCGAGTATCGGGAAATTCTTTCTTCCTTCCAGCGCTGAGGCATTAAGCTCTGCTGTTGACCTGTGGTACCTGCAGCATCATTTCTTCGTGTTGGTAAATGGGAATCGTATCTTTCCCTGGTGCTTCCAGATTTGTTGCTGTGTTTCTAATTGTCCAATTTTGCCAAACTACAGCTGTACATAGGCTGAAACTTTTCATCTTGGGCTTAAGTTTGAAGTCTCTGTGGGGAACTTCAGTCCTAACAGTGCATGTGCTTTTGAACCCAGGGTTAGAATGTTGTGGCCTTTTGCCTATGTTCAGATTCTATGTTCAGATTCTCAGAGATGTTTCTTTGTAATCATTTGTCTCTTCAGTGCTTTGGGACAGGAACTCCAGTTCGGGTAACAGGAAATGACCTCTGTGTAGAGGATGCCCCTCGTG